TCAGCCAGGTGCAGTGGCTCACGCCTGTAATCCTAGCACTCTGGGAGGCCGAGGCAGGTGGATCGCTTGAGATCAGGAGTTCAAGACCAGCCTGAGCAAAACGAGACCTGTCTCTACTAAAAATAGAAAAAATTAGCTCGGTGTGGTGGTGCATGCCTGTAGTCCCAGCTACTTGGGAGGGTGAGGCAGGAAGATCACTTGAGCCTAAGAGCTTGAGGTTGCTGCGAGCTATAATGACGCCACTGCACTCTAGCCCGGGAGACAGAGCGAGACTCTTTCTCAAAAAAAAAAAGTATATAATGCAATGGTACAGTTGTGCCAAGACTTTTTATTATGTGAGAAAAATAAATCCCTATTTAAGTCACTTTTGGTTAGGCTTTAAATATTTCATTCATAGTCACAGAAAGCATTCCTAAATTACACACTTCCAGCCTCTTCTCAGCCCTGAATCTCTTTAACTTCTTACGGAGTATGACCCCTCACTGTTTCCAAGACTTTATCTAGGTCTGGGCAAATGCAGCCCAATTCCCAATTTTATGAAATTGAAAGACAAAACACATACATTTTTGCCACCCAGAAGGAATAACGAACATTTTGTCATACAAAACTCAACAGTAATAACCTTCCAGATACCACAAGACCAACCTCCTTCTCATTCTCCTACCTACTTCCCTGAAACCACAGCCAGCATGAATTTTATGTATCTTCCCGGGCCTTTAAAAACATTTTTATAGACAAATGTATTTGTGTATGATAAAGGATTTCTTTGTGTGAATTTACACAATCATTTAATCTACAAATAAGGGCTCTTTCGCCTTTTGTCTAATCACGCCTCATTTCTGTGGGTTCTGTCTGATTGCAGCAGGTAGCGTCTCCGGTGCAGTCCTGACCAGCAGGTTGACAGCAGGCATTCTGGGCTTAAAACCAACTTTACTGGCGGTATTTCTGATATCTCACGTCAAGATGATGAATTATACAGGTTTTCTCAGGCTAGGAAAGTTTCTTTTTATTCCTACGTGCTAAAAAGTTGGGTTTTTCCCCCTTAATCTTGAGTTTTTTAAAAAAACAAGCATTTTTTAAATTCATTAAATCATGAATAGGTATTGCAATTTAATAAGCTCATTCAATAAAATTCTCGTTTCAGTTATTTAATAATTGCTATTCAAAAATATTTCATAAAATTATTTCCTTGTACATGTAATGTTTTAGAAGATCATGATGTTTAAAAACATCTCTTAAACTTTTTAAATTTTAGATTGTCATACTTTGGTCGATGTGGTCATCAGCCTCCAAGACTCGTTCGGGTGGAAGCCAACTGCCATGTCACGAGGGTGCTCAAGCAACCCTCTGGAGAGGCCCATGTGAAGAGGAACTGAGGCCTCTTGCCAACAGCCAATACAAGCTTGCCAACCATGGGAGTGAGTGTTATGTGTTGAACTGTGTCCCTCAAACATTTATATGCTGAAGTCCTAACCCCCAGTACTTCAGTGTGTGACTGTATTTGGAGACAGGCTCTTTACAGAGGTAATCGAGTTAAAGTGAGGTCATTAGGGTAGGCCCGAATCCAGTATGACTGGTGTCCTTATAGAAAAGGGAAATTTGGACACAAGGACAGGCATAGAGAGAAGATGATGCAAAGAGACAGGGAGAAGATGGCACCTATAAGCCAGGAAGAGGGTCCTAAATAAATCCTTCCCTTATGGCCTTCAGGAGGAACCACCCCTGCCGACACCTTGATTTTACACTGCTAGGCTCCAGAATGGTGAGAAAATAAATTTGTTATTTACCTCCCAGTCTGTGGTTTTTTAGTTATAGCAGCCTGTTGTGGGCTGAATTGTGTCACCTCAAAATTTATATGTTGAAATCCTAACCCCCAATCCCTCAGAGTGTGACTGTATTTGAAGATAGGGTCTTTAAAGAAGTAATTAAAGTTAAATGAAGTCTTTTGAGTGAGTCCTAATCTGATGCAACTAGTATTCTTATTAAAGGAAATCTGGATATAGACATGCACAGAGGGAGATCATGTGAAGACAGAGAGACAAGGTGGCCACCTGCAAGCCAAGGAGAGCGGTCTTAGAAGAAACCAATCCTGCCAACGCCTTGATCTCAGACTTCCTGCCTCCAAAATTGTGAGGAAGTAAACGTCTGTTGTTTAAGCCACCATCTGTGGTACTTTGTTATAGCAGCCCTAGCAAATGAGTAGATGGAGCCACCTTGAAAGTGGATCCCCCAGCCCAGCCGAGTGTTCAGATGAATGTACCTCATGAGCGGTCCCAAGTCAGAACCACCAGCTAAGCACTCTGGAGTTCCTGACCCACAGAAACTGTGTCAATTAATAAATGTCTGCTCTTATTTTAAATCACTAAGCTTCGGGGTATTTTGTTACATAGCAAAAGATAAACACAGTGGATTAAAACAAAATAATTACATTAACAATAATTAATTCTATTTAATTGGTAAGCTCTGGAAAATACCATATGCCATTCAGGACTCAATTTGACATTATGAATACCATATGATTTTGAGGCCTGTTGTTTTAAAGAAATAATAAGCTCTACTTTGTATTCCACTTTAAATTTGAAAGACATTCCAAAGATTACCCTTAGTTTCAGTCTAAATGTACTATGCATGAAAGTCTTAGCACTTACATCTCCTGGTTTATCGATGTAGGTGGACAAGCCAGAAAATTAAAGTAATATACCATGGGAATCAGTAGAATTCCTTTCTGGCAATGTTTTTTTTCCCAGAATGTCATTCCTCATTTGCCAAACTATCATGGGGCCTGAACTAGACCTCTCTCTGTGCTTGTATATATTGTTAAGCAAGCCAAGGAAAATAAAGATCAGAGTTTTCAAAGGTGAACTTTGCAGTGCTCACACGGTACCTTTTGATGGCCACCAGCTCCCCGGATTCGTTGTTCTTGCCCATAAGCACACTCCCATAGGTGCCGTCCCCCAACTGCCTCATGGTTGTGTATCGGTTCATCTTGGAAGCTAAGGCAGCAGAAACTGCTGATTAAAATGACTTCCTTGTTGAATATAAATTTGAACGCTTCTATATTTTTATTTGTTTTTGTCCTCACACTGTTGTTGCTATACTGGTGACAGGATTGTCATCATGAAATAGAGGCTTTTTCCCAAGATTATGTAGGTTCATGAGATATAGCAATAAGGAATCTGGCAAGGAAACACTGCTTCCATTCTTATGAACACCCTATAAAAAAGAAAACAAGAATAAAATGAATTTCCATTAAAGAGTCTCTTCAAAAATTTTACTAGGAACCTAGAGCATAGGGGAAAATTATAAATATATAATATAAACACTACTATGTTAAGTATTATATTTGTCAGTAAATCATTTGTGCTATGTGAAATGAAGTTCACATATAATAGACTGATAATACTCATTTCGTAAATGCTTCATTTACATGGTACTGTGCTATTTATCCTATGACTGTTCAAAATTGGCCTAATGACTTATATGATTCCTTTTTATTGAACATAACCTATATTATTCCAAATAATACTTGGAAAATAGACATCTTTGCTGTATACATTCTTTGAATTAATTTCTGTATCGTATTTAATTTAGTATATTAAATTTAAAACTGTACTGTTTGTAAATTCCCTGTAGAATACAAGTACCCTGATTAGGTAAGTTAAATATAAAGCAAACTTTTGTTTTATATGAAGGGAACAGCATTTTAAAAAAGTTTCATATTCTATTTAAATAACATGATACTTTATTTTACATTAAACTAAGAAAAATTTAAGTACTAATTAGGAATTAGTGTCACACTAGATTTACATGAAGAAATAAAAGATGCAAAAGTATCTTTACATACATATGCTTATTTGGGAATCTACATGACTACTTTAGATGGAGTTCAAGAGACATAACTAAAATTTTGGAAAGGTGTATCTCACTGAAGTACAGAAAACCTGGATTAGGAGAACGGGGACAGAGGTTTGAACCTCACACCAGTGCCTACAACCATGCAACATGGGCAAAGCTCTCAACCTACTGGACTGCAATTAACATAACTATAAAAAAAGGGCATCCCAGCTCTAAAATTCCACGTCTATAATTACATATTTTCTAAACACTTTGAACACCACACACACACAGTTTTGCAATTATTACACTGAAAAAGACACCCACAGATACACACTCTCTTACAACTGAAAGGGGGGCAAAAACACAAACTAAAAGTTTAGTAAAATTACAAAATTTTAAATTTTAAAATTATAAAATTTCTAACCAATTCTTCATTATCACAATTACTTTTTGCCCCAGTGACACTCCTGTGAGTGGCACTAAGACCGCAAAGGCCAGGTAAATGAGTGACCCATGTCCAGCCGGGGAACTGGCAGGCACTGCTTCTGGCACTGATTTAGGCATTGCCTTGGGCATTGCTTAATTGTGCAGACATTGTTTAACTGAGTCAGGAAGTCTCAAAACAAAGTTTTCAAACTACCCTGTTGGAAAGATGGAGGCAGGACAAGTTCCAACTGGATAGAAACAGGATGGTGGAGAAACTGATCACCTCTTGACCTTGCAGCTTCATCGTACATCTCATTACCATAAAAGTTTCTAAGGAAACCTCCCACTCCCATCATGCATCTGACACCACGACACTTCTTGTTTGACTATATTTAGTCAAAAGGAGGCGTCACCCTAATTCCAGGAAAACCCCAACTCCCCTTTCTGAGAAATAACATGAATATTCCTTTCCTTGGTTAGCCTATGATTAAGCTGTTGCTTAAACAGAGGGGAAAAGGAACTGTGGAGCCAGTTCTCGTCTGCAAGGAGAACTAGCCTCTTCTCTGTCTGTGGAGTAGATTTTCTACATTTTCTAAATAAAACTCGCTTTCATGTTATCCTGTCAGCTCACTCCTGAATTCTTTTTTGTCCAAAGCCAAGGATCCACTTGGACTTCAAGTGGCTTCCAACACTGGGAGTCACTTTTATGTGTCAGTGTCCCCTGTGCCCGTGTCTCTCAATACTCCCCAAGTCCTCCAACTTGGTGGTGTCAGTGGAGCTGGCTTGGCAGTGGTTGGGCTACTCTGGCCTTCTTCTTCAGGAGGGCAGCTCTTTTACACCATTAGCACAGCACACCAAACGGAAGCTGTCGAGAGAAATCCCTGTTTACTTCTTTGTACAACAAAAACCCCATGAAACTTTTAGGAAAGGAGCCCCAATTATATGAGATGGTATCATCTTCCAGGTATTCTAAATACGAATTGCAGAATATTAAAGCTGTGAGGACCTTGGAATTCATTAAGCTCAAAGCTCTCATTTGATAGTAAATGCTTTCCTCTAAATTGTTGCTTATTTTAATTGAAATTAACGATATGTACTTTTAGATGAATATTAAAATAAACATAGGCCAGCAGATTGCACTCCTGTGCCTAATTATTTTCTACCTTTCCTGTACAGAATCATACAGCCCTGCCCTTGCCATGTGACTTGCAGTTGTGATGCCTTGCCATGTGACACCAGGTAAGATAGCGTATTCACAGGCTGCTCCCCCTGTTTGGACATGTGACTTTCTCTGGCCAATGAATCATGAGCAGATACAACACAGGCTATATCTGAACTGAAGCTTTTAGAGCTACCCTAGGATCCTGCTTTGGCTCTTCTCTCCGCCAGAAGTATGGCATGTCCCAAATGGGGGCTGCTCTTTGGCCTGGGTCCTGGGATGAAGAAGACACATGGAACAGGAAGAACACCACTGCCAACTGCAGCCAGAAGACGATGGAAGTGAAAAATAACGCTTTGTGCTTGCAGCATAATTTATGACTGAAGCAAAGGTGACCAATAGACATAACAAGTGTCCCGGTGCCTTTTTGTTCCTTTAAACTGTAAAAAGTCACATAACTGATATCTAAATTATGATACTAATAGCTCATAGACACCTTCCTTCATGGAGAGGATAATGTAATAGATATTTACTTATGATGCTTAGCCATGAAATGATAATACATGCTGAGAATCCAGGAACTATGTATTATAAAAATAATGCCAATTGGCCGGGCGCGGTGGCTCACGCCTGTAATCCTAGCTCTCTGGGAGGCCAAGGCGGGAGGATTGTTTGAGCTCAGGAGTTC